TGGCATAAGCTTAATCATAGTATTCTTTTATTATCCCTTTATTGATTCCAGGACCTACAGTGATATCCTTAAAAAAAAAGACACTGCTTACTTTGCCTTCTCATTTTTTTCCCTTTGACTAATCTCACCAAAGGTTTATTTTTATTATTTTTTCAATGAGCAGAATTCTATCTTTGTTGAATCTTTTGAGTCATGCTTATTTTCCATTTCCTTAATTTTACTCCTACTCATTATTTCCTTCCTTAGCTTTCCTTTGGGTTTATTTTGGTGATTTTTTTCTAACTTCATGAAATAGGTGATTTGTTCATTGTCTTTAGATTTTTCCTCTTTTCTTTTAAATATTGTTTTGTCTGTATCCCACACATCTGACATGTAATTTCATTATCACTCAGTGCAACTGTTTTCTAATTTCCATATACTTCCTTCTTTGACCATAAGTTATCGAGAAGTATATTTCCTAATTTCCAAACATATGGTAACTTTCTTGTTATTGTTCTGGCATAATTGCATTATGATCAGAGAAATTTGACTGTATGAGCTCAGTCTTTCAAAAGTTTTGAAGACTGCTTCACTTGTGCTTTCAAAGCCTGATTATTCTGAGGTGTTAGGGTTAAGCGCTTTCTGTGTTATTCACATTGTTCAAATTATCTAGATCATTTCTAATTTTTGCTTCAATTACTGGAATTAAGTGTGATAAAATTCCCCATGAGGCTAGGGGTTGGCCTATTTATTTTGTAGTTTTGAGCACTTTGCAAAATAGATATTTGAAGCCATGTTGTTAAATGCACAGAAATTTAGAATTATTGTATCATCCTATTGAACTAAAAGATTGATCATTCGCAGTGTCCTTGTTTAACTCTACTAATGCTTTATACCTTAAAGTTTATTTAGTCTTTGTTAACACAGTCCCAGGAGCATTCTTTTGGTACTGTTTGCACTGAATGTCTTAATTCCTTCTTTTACTTTCACACTTCCTGTGTCCTTGTGTTTTAAACATGTCTTTTGTAGAGGACAGTTTGTTGTTTGTTTTAAATCCAGCCTGACAATCTTTGATTATTAACTGGAGCGTTTCATCTGCTTACATTTATTACAGTTACTAACATATTTGGATAAAAATAACCCTGCCATCTTCCTCTGCACTATTTGTCCCAGCTCTTCATATTCCCCTTTCTTTCTTTTCTTGCCTTCCTTCAGACTGCTTGAGCCATTTTATCATTCCGTTTTCCTTCTCTTTTAGTTTAGAAGCTACATACTTCTTCGATTCTATTATTTTACAACATGCCTTCTGGAAATGACGACATGCATTCTGGGTGTATCTATGGCTAATGGTAATCTATATTCTACTCTCATTCCACGTAATTCAAGGACTTTTAATCAATTTCACTACCTTTAGTTTTCTCTAGACATATGCTCTTGTGTGTAGAAATGGTAATACTGAGTCACACCTCCTGGGAACGTCTTAGAGGGTCCCTGAGCAGTCCGAAAACCATGAGACTACACAAGCCAAGGCGCTGTCCACGTTAACATTTTACAAGCATGGAGCTGCACTTCTAAAATGTTAACTGGACCAGCCCTGTTGTGGATAATGCATTTTTAAAAATGCAATTGCCGAGCAATGAGGCATGGGTTTTTCATGATTCCCAGGCAAGGAGGTTGGCGCCTAAATGGGGCTATCTCCTTTTAATCAAATGCAATTGAAAAGCAGTAGGGAAAACAGGGAGATCTGCATATCAAATGAGATATATTCAGATGATGATAAAAGAACTGCAGTAGCCAGCAGGTCTGTAGCTCACCTAAGATGATTCTAGAAGTACCGAATCACTTTACTTCGTGCTATAAGTGTTTTGGTTTTTCTGTTTCCTCAGCAGACCCAGACTTGTAGCCCCTTTCCATACTGTGCATGCAGAGGAAAAAGCAAAGTTTCCTGTGGATGTGTGTCCAAAGTTGTCAAAATGAAGGGAGGAAGAAAGTTTAAGCTGCATGTTTGTTTGCTTTAAAAGGGGAGACAAACCAAAAAAGAAGGGGGGGAGACAAACCATATGAGACTCTTGACTTCAAGAAACAAACTGAGGGTTTTGGAAAGGGAGGTGACTGGGGGGATGGGGCAACCAGGTGATGGGCACTAAGGAGGGCACGTGATGTGAGGAGCACTGGGTTTTATACGCAACTAATGAATCATTGAACACTATATCAAAAACTAAAGATGTACTATATGGTGGCTAATTGAATTTAAATTAAACAAATAAAATAAAAGGGATACTTTTTTTCTCATGATTGATTTCAGATTAAAGCCATTAAAAAGGTGTTGCCACTTTCCAGAAAAAAAATGGTGGGGCATGTTGCTTGGTGAAATCAAACTTCAATTAAATTATGCTTCACACAAGCCCTGAAAGCAGAGAAGTTTTTACCATTCATGTTTAATTTGGTTCCGTGAAGTGGACACACTTATTTCTATAGCACGGCTAAATATATTAAGCACACCTACTCTTGTTATCCTAAATTTTCACCCGTGCCTGAAGCTATGAGATAATGTAACCACAGACCTCTGTGACACCTCGGTGTAGGCAGTAAGCATCTTTACTTGGCATAGCGCCTTGCTGACTTCTCTGACCCCACTTGGGTGTCCACGGCCGCCCACAGTGACATCACAGTACTAAGCTTCTCATTTTCTCCAGGAGTTCGAACTGTATTTCTCGATTAGGAAATGTTTCTCTGACTTCATACTGATAGATGGGGAAGTTATCAAGGGCAAATGACTCAGTGTTAAGTCACGAAGTCATTGGTCCCCTGGGGAAAGAATTTCAGAAGGTCTGACTCTCTTGGTGTCATTAAACCATTCTGGTCTCGGCACTGTATCTAGAAAGAACCTGCAAGATCCTCTGCTCCAGCCTTATTCTGTTCACATCTTTCAGATGAGACGATGGAAGCCCAAAGACATTAAATGATTTTTCCCAAGGTCAGAAGACTAGTAACTACCAGTGTTCCCATGATGTTTAAATTGGATTTCCCCAAGCTTAGCAGTTATGTGGGAGATGAGGATTCCAGAATCCACACCAGTACAAAGCAAGCTTCATTTTAGCGGCACCTTCTCTTATAGCAACTTGAGCTGTTATCTCACTGATGTCCAGTCTTCTTGGGGAATGAGAGACAGCATTAGGGCAAACTACAAAATCGCATTCCCAGTTTCTAAAAGAACACAAAGCCCCTCACTCCACTCTCTCCTTCACTGTCAGACTCTACTGATGGATGAGGTAGGCATGTAATGTCTCTTGCAGACCAGAACTTGACAGAGATTGAAAGCATCTGTCAGGAGAACCCAGGCCCCTGTTTTGCCACCCAGGACACCTGCCAGATTTTGCTCTATTAATTGGCTTCCATGCAGGCAGCTATTTTAGCAACGATTCTGTGTGGGTCTTCGGTGGCACATCCTGATTTAAAGTGGAACGTTGAAAGGTACTTCTCGACCACTCAAACTGTCTGGGGTTGCTCACATTTAGCTGGCTGGACAGAAAGGGAGGCAGCCTTCAAAACTATTTTGTTGACATAAAACTAGATTATTCAGTCTCCTCAATTCAGAGAATAATTCTGAGAGAGATGGTGACTGAGGAGGCTCATTTCTGCCTAAGGACAGAAGGAATTGATAAGAGAGTTTGTGGAAAAAATGCCACTGTGACCTTAAACATGCAGTTTCTGGGATGACACCATAATGAGGAACGGAGTGCTATTAAAATATACTGCACATTTTAATGACTCCACTAGCACGGTAGGCCAAAAAAAAAAAAAAAAAAAAGACTTAAGCTCAGAATAATTCTGGGAAGGAGGATTTTGCCAAGGAGATTTTAATGTCAAGAATGTATGTGAGGCTAAAAATAAGGAGCTCACGCACATTCCAGAGCCGTGGGTGGGGATGTATATATAATCAAATTAAATTATGCCATTTCCACTTATGAAAAAATCTGATGGCAAAAATTGACTAGAAAACATTTAGTCATATTTCACTTGGATTAGGCTTATACATACCAAACTCCAGACTTGTCAAAATAAACCCCACCAGCACTTTCTGGACGAGGTGTTAGATAGCCAATGGCTGCAACGTGCAAAACCGATAGAGAGCTTACGGGAACATCGTGCCTGGAAAAGCCACAGGGACTCAGCTTTCAACTAAAGAGAGGGTTCAGAGAGGTCAGAGGGGAAGAGGTGACTCTGCACGGTGAGGACTGGAGCCCAGAGTGGCGCAAATGTGGAAAGCCGAGGAAGGGGCTTTTGGGGAGCCAAAGACATGTGAAACCCAGGTCCCAACTCTCAGAGACTGGAGGTCTGGTGCCCATGACTTTTTAGTATTATTATTTTTTCCCATCGCAGAAAGTGCCCCTCAATTTTAACCTTCCTCTAGAGGGCCAGCGTTGGGTTCTTTTGACAAATCATTGATTGATACAACAGGACTGTAAGGTTAGTTGCTGCCAACACACCCAACTGCAAACTGAGGCTACGCGCAGAGGAGACCCAACGTACCTGTGCCCGGAAATGAATTTGTTGCCATTTCAAGGACAAATATCTTCTTGGCTACAACTGCTGAACTGCCAATCCAAAAATGGGGGGAAAATCTAGGCTTCAACAAGTCTTTATTTACGTCTTAAGTTGTAATTAGAAGACTCCTGTAGTACAGCTGTACTTCTTTAGTCCCCTCTGCTTGCCCAAGCCTGGACCTTGGGCCAGAGATGCCTCTGTCCATTGGGTTCTGGTGTTGACCAGTGGGAAGGACGGCTGGGAATCACGGGGAAAGAGGGAGCATCTTTCCTGGACGGCATGGATAGTTGGTGACCTCACATTGGCCAGTGCTTGCTGATGCAGGCGACACACAGGATGCCTTATGCATCTCCCAAGTGATGGAAGGAACAGGATAGAGAAGTCAGCCCAAGCTCCATGCACACACCCAGGTTGGTGACAGGGATCCAGAATTGCTGACGGGGCTCAGCCTAGCAATCCTACTGCCCCAGAGTCTAGACAAGTTCTGGCTTGGATAGAACCTGCATCTCGTGCCTCTGAGTTCTCTCCTGGAATGTCATTCTGGAATCCCGTGATGTTTGCTCCCTAGAGAAAGAATAAATCAGGGAGGGAAAAATAATTTGACCTGATGAAAAGGGAAGTAAGGATGTTAAACAGTAATAGTTATGGAGGATGTATTGAGGATCAAACACTGTTGTAAGCACTTTGCGTGTGATACCGCCCCCCCCACCCCCACACGCGCCTTCCTTCCCCACCCCTCACAGCCCTCCTTCCCAATGGTCAGTACCAGAGCCTGGGTAGGCACTGCTACTAGCCCCATTTTATAGGCAAGGACACTGAGTTTTATGGAAGTTAACTAACTTGCTCAAAGTAAACACATAGCTATGAATCAGCAATGGAAGGATCTGAACCTTAGCCACGGGCATCAAACCCCAGCCTTAAACCATTTTACTATTCTATCTCCTATGGATCTCTTCACCTACTCTCCATAGCTTATGCAGTAAAACAGCCTCAAAAGAGCAAAAATGAGTAGTTGTGGGAGGGATCTAATTTCAGCGTTGGTACTTATTTTTCATATAACCTCAGTAGTGTCACTTACCTTCACGAGCCTTCCTCTGTTTATCTATCACACAGTAATCATGCTTTGGGTGCTGCTATCCCCACAGCATCATATTGAGGAAATTCACATTGGGAAGCTTTGAACAAAAGAAAGTTCTTCTATGCATGACCTGATTAAGATGGTTGCTATCGCAGGTGAGGTGGTGGTATAGGAGAAAGAGCATAGACCATGACCTGGACCTGGGTTTGAATTTGTCACACTAGCGAACCTTTCTGACCCTCAAGCGTCTCAACTATTACCTGAAAAGACACATGTTGGAGTCCAATTACAGTGGCTATCTGCACTGGCCCAGGCAGCAGTGCCCCTTACCTGCAGGGAAAGCAGATGGAGCTGCTGAAGACACAGTAGATGAGAGGGTTGATGGCACTATTCAAGGCTGGCAGGTTCTGAATGATCACAGAGGCATAGACGCGTTCCTTGGTGTCCGGAAGAAGACTGAAATTGTCCAGGATGTCGAAGAAGAAGTATGGACTCCAACAGCAGATGAAGGCTGGGGAGAAGAGAGCCGTTAGCACTGTAGCAGACACAGCCGGGGGGCTTTCAGTGGTGACCCCAAGTCGAGCTCCAAATAGGAGTTTCCTTTGCACCTGAGATCTCTCAGAAATATTTAGAACATTGTGTGTGAACGTTAATGTCATGTTTACTCACACACACGCACATATACACGCATACGTACACAGCCCACAGGTACGTTGCTAGAGTTGAGTGAATTTGTAAAGGGAGGGTTCGATTTGACCCCTGTTGTGAGTCCTACTGCAAAGGTTGGGAACTGCTCGGCATGGCCTCAGCTTCTCATCCCACATAGTGTGGAAGGAAAACCAGCAAAACTCTTTGAGGACTCCATGAGAAAAAACCAAAAGAACAGGAAGCATTTTGACCGATAGTGACTCCTGGTTTTAGGGTATGACAGGGGGACAAGGTGGTGCCTAATGTTTTCAAAGCACAATCTGGCTTCATCACAATGTTCTTAATTTTCTTTTCCATTTCTAAGTCAGCCACTCCAGAAAATAGCTGCCCTCTACCCCTCTCCACGTCAGTCTGTGTGTGAGCCCCTGATTCTGCTTGTCTCTAAATCCTCAGAGGAAATGGGTGGTAGGTGGGGAGATCCAGAGTATGATAGTGAATTTTATAGGTCACCTTGACTGGGTCAGGGGTGCCCAGATATTTGGTGAAACATTATTTCTGGGTGTTTCTGGATGAGATGAACATTTGAATTGGTAGACTAAGAAAAACAGACCACCCTCTTCAATGTGGGTGACCCCCTTCAATCCCTGGAAGGCTTGAATAGAACAAAAAGCTGAGTGAGAGAGGATTCATGCTGTCTGCTTGACTACCTTTTAGCTGGGCCATCGCTCCTCTCCTGCCTTCCTTCACACTCAGACTCAGACTGGAACTACACCATCGGCTCCCCTAGGTCTGCAGAACCTGGGACTTCTCAGCTCCATAATCACGTGAGCCAGTTCCTTCTAATAATTCTCTTTACATACACGTATATCTCTTCTTTCTCTGGAGAACTGGACTAGTACCCGCGCGCACCGAGGTCAACAGCCTTGGGGCTGACTAGACACGGACGTGTCATCTTCCGCTGTCTTGCTACATCCTCTCCACCCTCCCTCTCCCCCTTTCTCACCCACAGGACTTTTCCTCAGAGAAGTCAGGGGTCCTTCGCCATCTGCTTGCAGGGGCCAACTTTCCCCTGTAACTGACCGCTGTGTGTTTAATTCCCCAGGCCTTGGCGATGGACTAAAGAGGAGCAACTGAAACACAAAGACCACTGAGCATTCTAGGCACTGGCAGTTAAGCCTAGCGTTGGCCTAGAATAGTGGTTCTGGGCCATGAAGGGGCAAAATTGCCTTTTGGTTGCATTTTGAAAAAAATGTGCATGTTTATGTATGTGCGTGTGTGGGGTTGGTGGCGGATCTGGTTTGCCCGGGGATACTAGTCCTTCTGTGTAGGGCAGGCTGTCCCACCCATGTCCCATCCATCCTTTGACTGTCCAAGTGAGCATTTTTGTAGCAGAGAACTCTGTTTATAATTACACCGGTCTGGAAGCCTAACTCTATTCTGTATACGAACGCAAATATTTTTAAGAAATGGTGAATTTTCCAGAAAGGCAATTCCTTTGCAAAGGGAGGAAAGATTACTTTTTCTAATTTGGAACTTTAGCAGGATTTATTTACCTGCTCAGAAAATCAAGTCCCTGACAGCAATGCTGCTTTATTTTCATGTCTTCATGAAAACACACCTGTATTGATTTTCCTTTGTAGCTATTACTACATCTAGCTGCCTACTTCATTATTCTTCTAGTGTAGCTGTGGCCAAGTGTTTACATATTGAAATCTGCTCTGTTTTATTATACGTTATTTTCTCTCTAGTCCTCCCTTATGTTCTTACATATTGATCTTTTAAGACTTGTTAGGTAGATAGTATTAATTACACATTTCATTTCACGATGGTGAAGGGGCATTCCAAGATATCTGTTATAGGAAGGGCTGGTTTGGTCTGACTGGGCTGTTAACACTGGCTGACCCTCTTGGGGGGCCTCTCTGCTCTCCGACTAAAGGACCCTCAGGGTCTGAGCAGATGGTTCCTGATTACAAATAATTATGTTGGCTCTGGACCACATGTATAACATTTATCTTCTGACTCAACATCCAGGGGATGTGTATCTCTATTTCTGACCATCTGCAAAGGCAAGAGAATCTTTGCGCTACTTGGTCAGCTGTTGGGAAAGGACTGTGAGCTGCGGTGGTTGTATCTGCTTTAGCCCCGGCTCTGCCTGCATTGTTGTTTTGCGCCTCTGTCCTGCTGGCTGAGTCCCTCTGCGCCTGGTCTGTTTGGCATTTTGCAATGGCGTCTCAGAAAAGGTGAGATTGATTATTTCTGTGATCTGATACGCAGCTAAGACCAAAGGCCTGCTTTCTTAGGCCTCCCAGGAGCTGCCAGAGGGGTAGGGAAGGGAGTATTTGAGCTACATAAAAAGAAAATCACACAAATCCCTTTCCTTCTTGCGTATCCTAATTAATTTGTTCCCAGAAAATATTAATGAAGCACCTAGTGTATGTGGGATCCTATTTCAGGCTTTGGCGATAATAACACAAGGAACACAAAAGCAAAAGTCATTGCTCTCACGGATTTAAACCAGTGCGGGGGGCGGGGGGGACGGACAATAGGCAGATCAACAGATAAAATGTTCAGGTAGAAGTGGGAGTAGGAAGAAAAATACGGCCAGGTAAAGACTAGAGGAGGGCTATTTAAGACTTGTGAAGGAGGCCTGGCTGAAGAGGGAGCACTGCTGGGAAACAAAATGATGTGAGGAGGGAGCCAGGCTATCTGGAGCAGAGTATTGCAGGTGGTGGCAACAGCACGGGGTCCCCCAGGTGCAAACAAGTGGACATTTTGAAGAACTAGCAAGAAGACCAATGCAACCGGGATAGAATGAGCAAGGAGGAGAGCGCTGGGAGTGAGGCTGGAGACCTGGCCAAGGGGTAGATCACACATGGTAGAACTGTAGGGTTTTATTCCAATGTAATGGGGAGCCAGAGGTGGGTTTGCAGGATAGTGATGATACCTGATTTGCAATCTTGAAAGATCACATTGGCTGTTTTGCAGAAAAGGAATAAAGAGAAGACCAGTTATAATGTTCTAGGCAGAAATTTGTAGAAGCTTTGACTAAGACAGGAGTTGTATAGATAGTGAGGACTGGTTGGGTTTGAGAGCTATTTTGCAGGTAGAGCCTTCAGGCCTTGCTGATGCACTAGTCATGTGGGATGTCTGAGAAACAGAATAACAACAGATAGATGACCCTTAGGTTTTTGATAGAGACACTGGGTGAAAAATGGTGTCATTTACTGAAATAGGGACAATTGGGGGAAGAGTTACTTTGTGTGGGGGAAGAGAATATGCCAAGACTTTCGGTTGGACATGTTGACTATGATAAGCTTATCAGAAATACAAATCAAGATCTCAAGTAGAAATCATAAGTAGAATTTCCAAGCAAAGGAAGTGTTCTTAAAAAGAGAAACAGATTACATGTTGCTTACAAGTCAAGATGAAGATTGAGAATTGACACTGGCCTTTTAGAGGTTGTGATGACCTTGAAGAACGTGGTTACAGGAGTGACAGGAGAGAAAGCGGATGGAAACGGGCTCCAGAGAACGAGAGGTAAAACGTGGAGGAGTTGTGTTAGAAGAGAGTGGTGAAGTGGGTCTGTACTGAGGAGTTCACCAAGGGGCCTCCTGCACAATATTTACATGCATACGATCCAGTTAAGGGGAGACCTGTTGGGGAGAGGAGATAATGAGAGGGCTGAAATTCTTGAGGAAGCAGCACGGAATGGGATTCGGGGCTCCAGCAACCATTCTGGGCTTAGACAGAGGCAGTGCCAGTTGATCCACCGGACTAGGAGAAAAGACAGAGCACATTGTAGAAAGGCAGATAGGTCGATGGATACGAAGCTGGGAGGATGAGGGAGTTCTAGTCTGATAATGTGTTTTCTTAGTGAAATATGAAGCAAAGTCATTAGCTAAGAGGGAGTAAGGGGAAGGAAGCTTCGAAGGTTTGAGAAAAGCAAAGAATACACACCAATGTGACACATATTATGTGCTCTAGAAATACCGTTTTTTTCCTAAGATGAAGTGATGTTATGGGTCTTAGGAGTAGAGAGAAAGGGGAGAAGGTCAAGTAGCCATTAGGGAGGGATTTGTAGTGACCCTGCGATTAAATATCCAGAAGAAATGGAATGCCACTTCTGTCTTTCTTTGCTCATAAACTTCAGCCTTAGGGGAGAATATGTCTCAGAGAATGCAGCAGGGTCAACTGGGTAATTGTGAGCATCATTCAGCTAGTTATGACTTAATCAACTTTCTCCAAATTATCCACACCCCATGGTCTTGGTGGGCAACTATAGTCCTAAAGGGAAGGATTGGGAACCACCGGTCTGCCCTTGAAGGAGACACCGGTGGATGGATAAATTCCACACATTCCTCTCCAGTCAGACAAAGGTAGAGTGCCTGCAGACAAATTCCTTTCTTGTGCGGGCTCTCTGCCACCAGCTCCTGGGACAAGCTTGCTTTTGGAATGTTCACACAGTTCTGCAACACAAGGAGGGACTTCGCTTACCCAGAATGATGACAATGCTATACTTGATGGCTTTGATTTTTGCCTTTGAGATGAGCCCTCGGTGGTAACTGGTGCACAGCTTTCCATCTGGAGATACAGAAGGGGGAATGGTGAAATGGAGTGGTGTTTTTGCCAATAGGAACATCACAGATTAGATCCACAGCTCTCATGGGACCACTTAGATCCTGCTCACCTCTGCCTGGGAGGACCTCCTTGGGTATTTTCAGAGTAAAGATGGTTTTGGGCTGGATGCTTGAGACTGCTCAGTTTGCAGCTTAATATAAAATGCAAATGCATTGGGACATCCAGACTCTCTCCAGAGTCTTGGCTGAATGCCCTGAACCAGCCAAAGCTGGAATTAGCCTTGTGACCTGGAATTAGCCAGGGGGCAATGCTGAGCTACCCATCCAGTCACTTCAGGAACTTAGGGCAAAGCCATTTTCTTAGAATCGTTACGCCAGACTAACTCGTTCATCTAACTCAGAAGATCCACTCTCAACAACAGCTCAAGCCAGGGATATGAAAAACAAAACAGAACAAAACAACCTGTCCCAAGTAGGAGCCTGGATATATAATCTAATTCTACATGGGCTGTTGTTTGATGGTAAACACACGAGGGGTACATATACGAATCTATTAGAGAATAAGCTTGATGGAGGCAGGGACTTTGTTTTCTTCACTGCTGTATCCTCTAAACTTAGTGAGTGATTAATATATATTTGTTGAATCAATGAATACAAACCGCTCTCTAGTTAAGAGGTAGTGGTAAAATAAAAGTTGATTGGGGTGGACAGAATTCAGAGTGATAGCTCTTAGTAAAAGGAGTGTGTAGATGGTACATTTGGGAATGGAGATGTTGGACGCAGGGTCCCTTGCCACTGCGGAAGAGTTTTTTCACTGTCAGAGCTTCTGCCAGGCAATATGACGCCTTTGGGAAAACTGGGAAAAGGTGCCCTTCCTGTGGACGTCCGCAACCTTGCCCCAGCACACCCTTAGCGAGGGAAGCAGGGAATGGGATGCTAGTCCCATGCACCCTTAGCTGGATGCCACTGATTGGGGCTCAATGAGCACCACCCTAGCAGTGGCCCATGTCAAAGGCCTACCCGGGGCACCTGTCATATGGGGCAGGATGGTTGTACACTGCTGTGCTTGCCTGTCCTCACTACAGTGTTCACATTCCACATTTGAAATTTATTTTAATCCCATGGAAACTGGTCTGAAGTTTATCTTTGCACTATTATTCTAGACCGTCTCCAGTCTAATCCAGCCCAATCTGACCAACATGGCACATCTGCCAAAAGATAAGGACTGAACAGAAGAGGCTAAGATAAAGTTCCTGTTCTCTAGGAGGTTTCAGTCCAGCAGGAAAGGTCACACAACTGTCCTAGGTGAGGACAAGCCTGGCTGACAGGAGGGAGAGGAAAACCAGCTGTGAGGGAGAGAGCCATCCCCCATTGTTATGCGGGAAAGGCTGCAGGGCAGATGCAGAGAATCCAGAGGTGGAGCTGGGGGGTGTGGGAGTGAGACTGGGACAGAGACGTGAAGCAGAGCGAGTGTCCTCGCCGAGACATGGAAACCAGAAAATGTCAGATATAGTTGGACCATGGGGGAGTCACCTCACTTGGCTGGAGCCTAAAAGGATATTGATTTTCAGCGCAGGGAGAACTGAGGCCGAAGTGGAAAGATCTAGAACGTCTTCCCAGGGAGTCTGGGCTGAATTTCTGAGGTGACTGCAAACCACTGAAGCTTCTGAGTCTTTCCACAGTGTGAACATTTACTCACTGGAGGGGACAAACGGTTATCAGGAGTAATAGGAAGAAGCTTTTATGTTTAATAAGCGGCAATGGTAATTATAACTGGTGTTTTCTTTCTTAATGTGTACCTTGTGAGGCCACTCTTAGGAACTGTTAGGGCTTCAGATTATTCTGTGCATTTCACAGAACCACAAGACTTCATGGCATAAGGAAGCAAAACGTTGCAGAAGCATTTACAGCAGCGGTTTAAGCTGGGGGCAATATTGCCCCCGAGGGTTACATTTGCCGATGTCTGGACACATTTTTGGTTGTCTCAATGTGCTGGAGGAGCGGGGGCTGCTATTGGCATCTAGTGTGTAGAGGTGAGGAATGCTGCTAAACATCCTTAGATGCATAGGAGAGTAAAACAGAATTATCTGGTCCCAAACACCAATAGTGCCAAGGCTGAAAAACCCTGATTTCCATGGTGGTCTCCTGGGAAGGAGACAGGCTCCAAGGTCAGACCTGAATATACTTTCCAGCTCTACCAATTACCAGCTGTGTAAACTTAGGCAACGACCAACTGTTTCCAGCTTCAGATTCCCAGTTTAAAAAACAAGGCATAAAATACCAAACTCAGAGGCTTTTTTAAACGGGGCAGAGGGAGGGAATCTTTCAAGCAAACTCTCCACTGAGCGTGGCGCCCCACACGGGGCTGGATCCCATGATTGATCCCACAACCCTGAGATCATGATCTGGTCATGACCAAGAGTCAGACGCTTAACCGACTGAGCCACCCAGGTGCCCTGCACCAAACTCAGAGTTTTGCAGATAAAAATAAAATAATGTATTTAAGATGCCAAGCCCTATGCTGAGAATGTCAATTCCCTTATTAATTGGGATAAATAAAGTTTTAATAGTATTTCAGGATGAAGATGAACTGCCTTTATGGATGTGAACAGACGGTATTACTGCATTTAGATTGTTATCTGTATAGGAATTATATACATCCAAAAATTCTCCCAGAAGGATTTTACCCAGGGGAGGCAAGTAAGAAATACAGCTGACCAAATTATATCCTTTCAAAATATCCCCATTTGCTGGAGTAACAGCTGGCTCTGAAACAATATGGTTGTGAAGACTTGGTTGGTTTTTCAGAAAAGTTCTTGAGAATGACATTTGTGCTCTAACTTTTTAAAATGGAACCTTGCAGTACTTTCCACAGGGCAACTGGGTGACAATATAATCAACTACTTGCCCTTTGATCTCCCAATGAGATCAGTGAAAAATGTCTCTAATCTGACCACTCTAGGAAATGCAAAGCCTCCAGCTTCTAAAGATGGCTCTTCAAAGAGAACTGAGCTACAAAATGCCAGTAATTCTCCTTTATTGGGAGATAAAAGGATTATTTCCACCCAGGCCTTGGTGCTGAGCTGGAGCAAAAAGCAGTTAAATCCAGCCATCCCTGCGAATCAATAGCTGGGGTAGCCTTGAGGCAGCAGGTCCCTTAGATTCGGGACTGGAAGCAGCATGCTGCCTTAGGCAGTCTTAATTCACGGATGCATCCCTAGTGGGGGCCCACACTGTCCATTTAGTCTCCAAGGGGCCAGTTCCTGCTCCTTACCTTGCCACGCTTCATGCCCCTTGCTGAGCCACTGGGAATCCATTGTTTTTGTGAACTGAGTGCCTGAAGGGGAGCAATTGGTGTCCTGGGATTTTTAAATGAGACAGAATTTATTCCTGGTCGGGAGGGGACTATGTCATCTCTGGGCTTATAATGAGTGCAGGTGATTTGTTTGTAACAAGGAAATCTACCTGGGGATGTCTTAAAATAAATATTTTTTCATATGTTGGGAAGTCTATGTATTTCGGGCTGATTTAAAAAATTTAAAATGCCTGAATTGTAAAATTTTTAAAATTTGAAATTGATTTCCGATCATTGATAACTTGTTTATCTACAAATGTAAACTCAGTGTTAAATATTTCTAGTGCATTAGGTCTCACCTGCTTAGCTGTGGGATTTTGACCACTACCTTCCCTTGGGGTTTTTTTGACCCTCTAACAAACCAGAGGTCATAGCTAGCTATGAGGAGGTATGACCTAACTCACCTACCTCACAGCTTTTTCTGTTCCTCAGCTCCTCAGCTCAGGTAGAACCAGGAAGCCTGGCAGACCTAAAATAACCGTGGCAGAGACAGGTGAGCTGTCCGCCGAGCCTTTTCTTTTCAGTAGCGTGTAGTCATATGACTAAGCTCTACCTATGGGAACATGGGAAGAATCCATGGACACTGTTCTCAGGACTGGCTCAGATAAACCACCTGACTAGTCCTCCTCTCTCTTTTCCTCCCACCCCTGGCTGTCGGATGTTGATGCTGAGAGTATCTTAGAGCCATCTGTTAAGTGCAGCAGAATCTTCATCCGCTTGAGTTTCTGAATGACTGTGTGGAGCAGGGCCCTTCCCTTTGACTTTTACTGTCAATTGGACTTTAAACAAGAAACAAAGTTCTACTTTGTTAAGGCTACTGTATTTGGGGGTTTCTTTGATATAGCAGCTAGTATTTCCTTAACTGAAGCAGAAGTTGGTATCTCATATGCAATACTATCATAACAAAAATCAAAAACGTGGCAATGGCCTGTGGGCTAGCAGCAGGTGGCAAGGAAACTGATATTGGAAGCTGGGACACTAGAGATCCATTTCATAGAACCATTTACGTACGATGCCTGGGAAGTCAAATTGTGTGCTTACTACTGAGCCTGGAGCCCATAGGACAAGCCTGGGTTAGCAGTCGGGGCTCTCCAGAAAATGGAACCAATAGGAAATACATAGAGATATACATAAAAGAAAATGTGTTATAGGAATTAGCTCACAAAATTATGGAGGCTGAGAAGTCCCACAATTTGCTGTCTTTAAGCTGGAGAACTAGGAAAGCTGGTGGTATAATTAAGTCCAAGTACAAATCATGAGAACCAAGGAAGATGTTTGTGTAAGTCTGAGCACAATGGCTGGAGACTCGGGCAGTCAGTGGTGTACATCCTGGTCCTAGCCCAAGGCCCCAGGAACGGGAGTGCTGATGTCTAAGGGCAGGAGAAGATGGATGCCCCAGCTCAAGCAAATTTACCCTTCCTTTGTCTTTTTGTTCTATTCAGGCCTTCAACAGATTGGATGATGCCTACCACACTGGTGAGAACATCTTTACTTAGTCTACCAATTCAAACACTTCTAGAAATGCCTTTCAGATACCCAGAAATAGTGTTTTGCCAGCTATCTGGGCATCCCTTAGCCCATTTAAGTTGACACATAAAATTAACCATCACAGTTGGTAAATAGAGTTAATAATGTATGTTGATTGCTAC